TTTTCTTTTTCAATTTGATGTGTGTGTTGCATATATATGAAAGTGAATGTGTGTGGTAAATACTGTCTTCCTCAACTGCTCTTTCACCTTACTTCTTGAGGCAGGCTCTCTCACTAAACCTGGAGCTCACCAACTGCCTGGGATCCTCCTGCCTTCACTCCCCTAGTGCTGGGGTTACAAAAGCATGCTACCATACTCAGCCTTTTATTTGTGTGCTGGTTATCCAAATTGATGTTTCCATGCTTGGCAAACACTACCAGCTGAACTGTCTCCCCAGTCCCAACGGTGATACAGAATCTAAAATTACATTGATGACCTTTTTGTACTTTTATATTATAGTCCATTGGTATATTTTAAACTCTTAGTGGACTTTTTACCCATACAGACAGTAACATAAGTTAGTCAAGAGGAATATATGGAACACTAAGTTATGCATGTCTTCAATGGCACACTAGCTTACACATGTCTTCAAATTGTTAGTGGATTTCATTTTATGATACCAAAAAATTTACTTTTCTTAATACTTCTACTGATCTCAGAAAATCAGTACATAGGAGGACTCTCACAATTGTAAATACAAGTTTTCAAAACCCCTCTTTTCAAAGCTCAAAGTCTGACTGGTCATCAATACTGTGGTCATTTTCCTTAAAGTGACAAGTGAACTTTGTTCGTTTCCGAGAAAATGCCTGCTAAGTGCCCACGATTAAATGGTATAGTTTGGCTGTCAGTCAGTCTTTCAAGGAAAAATGGTTCTCTATGAAAAAAAGCTGCTGGGGTAGCTCAGACAAACCTGTCAATTTCCCTCCACCCAGTCATTCTCATCTACAGAACACTTAAAAGGTAAGTGCACAAAGGGACAAGATTTAATTCAATTATATTTACTGCTTTGTCAAAGACATTTGTAAATGGGTTGGAATAGTCATGACTGTGGTTGCCTGGCAGTCAAGAAAACAGTTATTATCAGCACCATACCAGCCAGGCTGTCTGTCATGCTAACCTGGAAGCAGTTTAGAGTTTATACACCATTGGCACAAAGGTCATCACAGTGAAAAGGGCAAACACTATGGCTATGCAACTAGTGGACCTTATGCCCACCTAACACAACCTACGGACTCTTGGAAACCCATTCTTTGAGAAAATACAACAAAGAAACAAAAACCAGTTCTACATGGTTCTCATTTTCTGAGTGTGTGCATATGTGTGTCCCTCTCCACCTCCCCTTTTCCCCCTCATTGCCTTCCCTCTCCTTTCTCCCATCCATCTATCCTTCCCAAGTGACTGAAAACCATTGCCTTTATAAGTAGCTGTTGGCAACAATTTGGTCCAGCTCCCCTATTTTTATGAGGAGGGCACTGAGCTCTTAGTGTGAGTCTGGGGCTGAAGAGCTTGTTCAAGGTTATTAGGCAAGTAATTTGTGACACCCCATTCTGGGGGTTTGACAGCATCTCTGATATAAGCACAGCTGAGAGCCTGTGATGATCCCAGTGAACAAACTCTCCTCAGCTCAAAGAATCAAAGCAAGGATGCTTTCACACTCCAAATAAAAACTGGTAAACCAGATGGATGTCCCATTTCAACTCTCTCATGTGTAGAGGTTAGAAGTCATCACTCCTGAGTCCTTAAGGAAGAAAACCTTGCTCAACTTTAAATGCTAAGGCTGATCTTGAAGCAATCAAAAAGGCTGACATTAAGGCTGACGTTGCAGGCAGAGCACCTACATCAAAAGCTCTGGAGATTGTGATAAGCCCAGAGGACCTAAGCTAAGGCATGCTTACCTAAGCAGAAGCCACCTGACCCATAAAACAGAAACACTGGAGACTGTGGATGGACAGGAAATCAAGAGCCAGTTTTAGGAAGCCCTGCCAGGTCCTCAAAGTGAAGACCAATAAGGCCCCTGATGGCTATGGTAGGGGAGGGCAGATGTAACCAGCACCCCAAACCTCACCATAACTGAGGCTGCTCTCCAAAGGAAAAGACTCACCCAGGGGATGGACAAGTCTCTGGCTTGGCCTCCTTAGCCTTCCCATCTCGCCTTACCCGACTGCAGGAGGAAACCTACCTATGGCAAAACATGGATAATGATTCCAGCCTGGGGACACAGGCCCACTTAAATGACTGCAAATTAATTAGAAGATCATGGGGTGGTGGCCTCTCGCAGCACCCTTAAAACTACACCAGCAGGGCAGCAATGTAGTAGCAGTGGGTTAAAGCACATAGACCTGAGCAGGAGTCAAGGGCATGAGGGTAAGAGTGGGGGAAGGGGAGAAGGAGGACACTGGAGAGCTTTGCACATTCAGCTATCTGCAGTTACACAGCTTCAAGCCTATCCAGATGACTAGGAAGCCTGACATGAAGACTATTAGAAGTGGAGTATGGTGGCTCAAACCTATAACCCCAGCACTAGGGAAACATAGGCAGAGGGATCTGTTCCAGGTTTGCAGATTGCCTGGTCTATACAGCAAGCCACAAGCCAGGCAGAGCAACATAGCCAACACCCTCTTGAAAGGAAAGTGGGTATATTCACTTGAGTTCTTGCTGCTGCTTTTCATATCATGCCTAGTTTCATCTTTAAAAAAACTTACATACCACGCTAGGCAGGATAAAAAGAAAAACAGCCAAAGAGATAAAGCCAGCGTCAGAACCAGACCGAGATGTGACGTAGATGCTGCAATCGTGGTGAGCCAGAGAACCTAGAGTAAGGATGATTATTCATTTGAACCCAATACAAACATTAGAGCGACGAAAGTCCTGACTAGCACCCCACTGAAGCAGCAGAGGAAAAGTTGCTACACACTGTGTAGATACGGAGGGCACTGGCAAAATGAGGACCCGGACACCAGGTGACCTGAGACAAGCCCTGACTCTACTCTGTCTTCCGTCTTCCGGACATGCCCTTCTCCTTCCTAAGGGGAAACAATCACACGGAAAGGACCCTTCAGGGCAGCAGCTTTTCTGTATGCAACCTCACCAACCAAGTAAGTGGCAGCATCCTTTCTAGTGCTACGCTCTAGCGGGTTGTGCTTCCATACCGTCAGCACAAGCAACTGCAGGTCACCAGCTCCTTATTTTGCTCTCTAGAGACAAGGTTTTGTGACTGAAGTCAATTCCTACATAGCGGGGCCTGGCTTGGAACCCCAAGTCCTCTTGTCTTGGGTTCCCGAGTGCTAGGATTATAGGTGTGCACTGCCATACTCAACCACAGCTCGCTCCAGTCCTTTTCAGCCCACTTCCTTGCACAAGTGGCTGGTGCAGCGCAGTCTATAATCCGAGCTTAAGCATTTCTAGATGGGCCATCGCCGGGAACTACAAATTCACTGTGAATAAGATTCCAGGCATTTTATTCATAAAAATTCATTAAAATGTCATCTTTTTAGTATCAAAGTCCTTCTTAGTCACTCCTTGAAGGTTAAGCCCTCTCATGAAAGTTCTCTGCCTTTCTGGGAAGAGTTTACATTCTGGGAGCTGGCTCAGCAGCACTGCTCTTGCAGAAGACCTGGGTTCAGTTCCCAGAATCCACAGGACAGCTAACAATACCTGTAACTCTAGCTCTAGAGGACATGATGCCTTCTGGCCTGCTTGGATACTACACATACATGATGCACATTCATATAGGTAGCCAAAATATCTGAACACACTGAGTATAGCTAAATGTTTTAAAAAATCTTCCAAACTCTGTCTGTCGTTACCAGTTCACTAAAGAACCTTACACTGCGGTGAAGGAAGATGGTGAGAACAAAACCTCAGCTAAATTATAACCAGTTCCTCTGGGGGGGGGAGAGGGGGATTCCATTATTAGTTAACCATCCCTTCAGGTTATGCTTTCCTTAGATATTGTCACAAAGTTAGACAACTGTACTCTTTCAACAACATTCTTCTGCTTTCCCTGTTTGTTGTAGAACTAAGTTCCTCTTTTGGTTTAGGCAAGCACTTTTATAATTTGCTTTCCCTCTCAGAACTCTAACACAACTCCAAAGGCCCAAACACTCAAGACCCTCCCAGCTCCACAATGATGCCCATGTGGGACATGTAAGTCCCACCCTAAGTTGTTCCAGCCTGGCCACAGGGGAAGGGGCAGTTCATCTCCTTAGGTTCTGCAGCTGGCTGTCCACACTACCCAGCAACTGGTCATGTAACACACCTCCATGTCCTCCAGACTCTACTGTCCTTTTTTGTTTACTTGCTCCACCCCCTTGGCTTCCAAATTAAAAACTCAAAACTAAAATTGGCCTATCATAAATGCCACATAATCAGAGGCTGGTCTTCCTTCCGTAATCAAGATGGCGTGGGGAGGGTCAGCGAGGCACCGGACAGTACAGCAGGGAGTTAATCAATGGTGCTTACAGATTGGCTTCCTGGATCACACACTAACTTCTTATCCATGCTCTTAGGCAGTCTCAGGAAAGCAGGGCCAGAGAAGGAAACAACGTCCATGAAAACTAACACTCCTCTCGGAGAGCAACACAGTGACAGCCGCTGCCTCAGATGAGCCAGACACTTAAGGTGTAAATAAAGTGTCTCTTGAAAACTGGGCAGACACTGATGGAAGCTGTGTGGCCTGGGGACCCAGTACCTAATTTCCTACTGTTTGCTCACAACATCAAGTATCCTTACCCTCTCTTACTGGGGCAGCTGAACAGCCAGAGTGGCATTCCTTTCCTGTGGGACTTAGTGAGGAAGTGCGAAACTGCTCCCACAGCTAAGGAACCTAAACCCCCTTCTAATTCTTCCATCTGAAGCCCACAGTCTAAGAGAGGCACAGAGGGAACTGCCTTGTGCTAACATCCAACTCTGTTCATTCTGAAAAAAATGCCTGTCATTTCCTCTAAACCTGACCTTTAGTAATACAACGGGCTTTTGGATGAATGAGAATTACTTACCGGGCAGGACTTATAAGAATGATTAACTTCTAGTCATCTCATATTACAGAAATATCTCAAGCCATTCAGAAGGTGAGAATTAAGAGGAAAAGATGCAATAATAATAGTAATTATATTACATACTTGTGACTTCTTGTAAGAAATCCAAACACGGCCGACTACTTCCTGAAATACTTATTGAAACGGCCAGTGGGGTCTGACCTTCATAGTTCCTTGTGTTCGTATCAGCTCCATAGTTATACAACATCCGTGCACAGAGCACGTCATCACGAAGGGCAGACAAGTGTAAAGGAGTCTGTCCGTCTTCTAGGCGCCCCAAGTTTGTGTCTGCCCCTCTCTGAAGGAACATGCGGCAGTAAGAGTGATTGCTTTTGATCACAGCATAGCGCAACAGGAATCCATTCTGAATGTCGATGTTGGCATTGTGGTCCAGGAGGATTTTCACACAGCTTGACCTCTCTCGGATGATGGCGAGCTGAAGTGGTGTTGTACCTTTATCACTGAGCGGGTCGACCTCAGCCTTGAACTCCAGGAGGAGCCGGACAAATGAGTCCCTACCATAGTGGGCGGCTACGTGGAGGGGAGTCCAGCCGTCATTACTTTTTGCATTAATGATGTCGCTCCTGTACTCAGACTCTAACATCAGGCGTGCAATCCGTGCCCGGCCGTGCATGGCTGCGTAATGCAGAGCAGTGAAGCCTCCGATTAAGTCTTTCACCGTGGGATCAGCTAGGGTTAAACCAAAACAAAAACATCAGTGGCTGCTGAGACAACGCTACTCTAGCAGAGTGGCGAAGGGCTCAGCCAGTTAGCACTTAACTGTGAAGGGTTAAACTCAATGAACAACACTGAGGACCTTCCCCAGGCCTAACAGAAGTGTGTCTCAGTAGAAAGCACATTTTAGTAGGACGTTATCATGTGAAAGTCCATGGAGGAAAAGAGAGAAGACCAACAATGTTTAGAGATAGACCCTGCCAACCGACTCACAGCAGCACCTCATCCCTCCTGTGGATTGAGCTGGGCCTGCTCGGCTCTTACCATAGCTCTCGTTCACATTTCTCCTTTGGTTTCAGCTATTTGCTTTATTTTTTTCTTGTGCTTTTTCTTGACCTAAAGAGAAGCATGTGTGGTGACACTGTTGCCCTGAATTACAGTGTTTACAGTAGGCCAGAGTTTTAGAATTTAATAGGGTGTGTGTGTGAGGGGGTCAAAGGCAAAGAGGCAAGGCACTGTCTCTGCACTCCATGAAAGGCGCAGGTGAGACACATGCTGAGTGACATTGCCGTGATGAAGCATGTTTGCATGAATAAGACAGGACTCCAACTGAGTTCGTTTATAGATGGTCCTCAGTTTCTAAGAACTAGCAAGCAAGCGCTGCAAATAAAAAAAATAAAAAAAAAAAGGAAAAGAAAAGGAAGAAACCTCAAAACTACATAATCATTTTCTTAAACAGTTTTAAAAACGTTCTCCTAAACTAACAGGTCCCTGGGGAGAAAAATCCACAAGAATGAGCTGCTGAGGGCGTCTTCAAGCTACAGACTCGCCACCACTTTGGCCTTCCATGGTGCTGAGGGTCAGCACTTTGTAGCTCTCAGCCCACTGGCATCCCCGAGCAGCAGCCCAACAGTGTGGACGCTGCTTCCTGGAGAAGTGAGGAGGCCAACGAGGAAGAAGACCCCGGCAGAGCTAACGACTAGCCTTAAAATGCTTCTTATGCAACTCAGGTTTTGGGTTGTTTACAAAAGAAAAAAAAATCATGAATGCTTTTTTCACAGGCACAAAATGCCCCCAAAGCTATGTGATTAAATACTTATGTACTATTTAATAAGATCTGTAGTTCCAGACTACAACAGCTGGGTTGTCTTACAAGAGCCTGTGAGGCAGAAAATGATATGCTGAAGTATTAATAATACTGCAGTGGGTGAAAACTGCAGTTAGAGTTGTTAGCAAATAAAACCTATGCAAAGTAAACTATTATTTTAGCTCCTCATAACAAGTGATGTAAACTGACAGCTAACAACCACAGTATCACTTTGATCTGCCAACAACAACAACAAAAAATATATATGAAAGTATCAGCAACGGCCGTAACTAAAATATTCAGTACCTAGGACTATGCAACAGGAAAGCTAGAACACTGCTGCGAAGCACTCTGCTGCCACCTACTGTAAGAGTCTGAACATGCACTAGTCATCCTTCACTTTGACAGACTGAGCTCTAAGACCACACTGACTGACTGAGTCTTACTGATGCTTGCTGTTACCTAAAATAGATGAAGTGAGGGCTAGAGAGATGGCTCAGAGGTCAGGAGCTCTTGTTGCTCTTTCAGAGAACCTGGGTTCAGTTCCCAGCACCCAAAGCAGGCAGCTCATAACCACCTGCTTCTCCAGCTTCAGGGGCTCAAACACCCTCTTCAGCCCTCTGCAGGCACTGCATGCATACACATAAACCCATTCTCTCTCCTGGCTCCACTCCCAACCTCTTTCCTCCTCCCTTCCCCCCCCCCCCCTGCAATTAAAAATAAAAAATTAAAAATAGGGATGGAGAGATGATTCAGAGGATAAGAGCACTGACTGCTTGCTCTTCCAGAAGTCCCGAGTTCAATTTCCAGCAACCACATGTTGGCTCACAAGCATCTACACTAGAATCTGATGCTCTTTTCTTGCATGCAGGCACACATGCAGATAGAGCACTCATACATTAAACAAATAAATAAAATCTTAAAAAAGTAAAAATTAAAAAAAAATCAAATAAGTAGAATGGATGAAATGAAAAGTAAGAGAAAAAATGACTAACCTATTCAAATGGAAAAATAAACCTTTCTAAAAACTGTCTCTAAGCTATACCTCACCATGTGTTTTCAGATAATCTCTCACCTGTCAGTGAATCCTGGGAACACCTTCCTCCACTCCTCCCACCTGTAGTCCCCCAGGGAGACCCGGGGGTGGGGGGGCAGCATCCTTACCTACACCCGACAGTCATTCTCTTTGACAAGGTGAGCTCAAATGCTATTCTCAAGTTGCTCTTGCACGTTTGGCTTTTACTGTAGGTCTAAGTGAGGCTCCACTTACATTCTAGTGCAACACTGAACTCAGAGAACACAGATTCACCCCAGAGCACAGACCTGACTCAACTGAGCACAGATCTTTCAAATGAACTAACCGACTGTGAGCAAAGCCCAGGCCAACAACTAGAGGGGAGTGATGCATAAAAACTGCAGCTACCGTCTCCAGGAAAAGGTGACAGGATGAAACGGAGTAGCAGAGCCCACAAGGGGGCAAATGAGACATATTTCAGGATCAGGGTAGTTCAGTGCAGTATGGTTAGAGCTCACTTGCAATGCCAATAAGATCTACAGGACCATATCAAGTTTGGTGAGAAATGTGTAACACATACGCAGAATCCACTGGACTGACTTTCCTTTGCTTCTCTCATCGGTATCTGCAAATTCTCTTCATCAGCGAGACGTCCCAGCACTCTCTAGAGTAATATTCCATCAAGCTTCTTCCACCTCCCTGCCCGAGACTCTGCTCATACATGAGACCCACTTTAAGCAAAGGTAGCATCATCTAATCTCAACATATGAAAACGCAATACACTTTTAACAAAGAACCATTATTATGCTTCATGTGGGCTGTTTCCTAAAAGCTTCAGCTGGTAGAGGTGAAATCTGTTCATCAAGTGCCCAGACTGGTAAGTTGCAAGAATCCATATAAATAGTCACCTTAACGAAAAGCATCCAATTTCCTTTACAACCAATTCCTGACATAGATTCTGCGACCCAGGCAAACAAACCACTGATCAAAGCCAAAGTTTTGCTCTTCCTAGGGCTTCATGACAGAGGAGTCACCTGCAGATGTGTGACTTCTCTTTGCATGTGCTTCTGACTTATTTGTAGCGTGAGGCTCTCTGGACAATGCTATCACGTTCATGTCTACTTTCATTTCTCTTTGTAACAGGAGAGAGATGCAGGCTCTGATGTTAAGAGTTTAACTTCAGAAGAAGCGCTGTGTGGTGTGCGGCCAGTGGCTACCCTGCTTTCTGTCTTTGCCAGTGACACACCACGGTGTCAGGTACTCCCATCTGTGTCCTCACCACTTTTAACTTTGCACATTAAAAGACTAAGAGTGAACACTTCCTGTCCTGTTAATTTACATTTCAGGGAACTAGAGAGCTGGCTTATTTGTACACTTTATGAATTATGTGTCAGTGTTTACTCATTTCCACTGGGCTGTCCTATAATGGAGTTGTAAAAGGTCTTTGTGTATTCTGCATTTGGGCTTAATAGAATATGCTTAATCACTTATTTATTTTTGCAATGCTGGAGGTTGAACATACAGCAAGCAGTCTACCAATGATCTCCACTCAGCTCTTTATTCTTGCTTTCACTTTCTTCTTGTAAGCATTTACTACACTTTTGCTCTGCTGAACAAAACTTAGCCTGACACAACATGACATTTTCTTTTCTTCTAAAAAGTTTGCACTTTAAACCATTTAGGTCAATGATCTACTACAGTTAACATTTGTGAATGCTGAAGAGTAAGATCAAGGTTCATCATTTGCCATATGGCTATCTACTTTGTTTTGACACCATTTGCTAAAACACTGTCTTTACAAAACAGGGTGATGGGGACAGTGAGATGGTTCAGCAGGTAAAGGTGCTTGCCAAGAGCGCCAGATGATCTCTGTTCTATTCCCAGATCCCAGTGAGAAAGAAGAAAACAGGACACCTAAGGCATGTCCTCTGGTCACTACATGTATACTACATGTATACTCCAATACATGTATACCCTCTCATACATACACCTGTGTGCACAGGTGTATACACATATGCATGTTCCCCTTATACACACACACACAAATAGCTTTTTCTCAATGACTTATCCTGCTGTCTTTGCTGAAATTCACTTTACCATCTAAGTGTAGTTTTATTTCTGAACCGTTCCACTTATCTAAAAATACTTCCTAGCTGGGTATGGTGGCACACACTCAGGAGGCGGAGGTAGAAGAACGGTGAGTTTGAGGCCAGCCTCAGAACATGTTCAAGGCCAGAATAAGCTACATAGCAAAACCCTATCTCAAATCAACGGCCAGACATGAAGCTCAGTGGCAACAGGCTTACCCAGCATACACAGGACCCTCAGTACAACCCCAGCACCCAGAAAAAAAAAAAAAAAAAAAAAGGAATCAAACAAATAATAAAAAATCAAACAGTTTTTCCATATGCCAGTCACAGACATTTTAAAGTAGTGTAGCTTTATAGCATGTTTGATATCAGGCGATGTTTACTCCTCCTACTTTTAAAAAATTATTTCAGCTAATAAACTTTCAAATTAGGTTGTTAGTATCTTCATACAAGCCTAGCCTAATTTCTACTGTTTTAATTAGACCAATTTACAGATGGCAAACTCCCCCAAAAGATATACATAATACTAATTTTGCCATGTAACGAACATGGAACACTTCTCTATTTATTTAGGACTTTTTTACTCCACCCCAGCAATGTTTCAGTATAGCTATATATTTAATTAAAATTAATATTAAAAACTTTAAATTGTTGCTATTATGAGCTGCTACTTCATCCTCCAGATCTTAACTGTTGGTAGAATTTGAGTTTTATAATACTTACCTGCAATCTAGCTCAATTCACTTTTTAGCTTCAGTACATCATACATATGTGTGTTTATGTACACATATACATATATATGTAAGTATGTATATAAATATGT